ACAGTCCAGGGTACACAGAGAAACCCTGTCTCAAACCCCAAAAAAGCCCTGCAGCCAAATTGTAGAGGCATTTTCTCAGTTGGGGTTCCCTCCTTTCAGATGACTGTAGCTTGTGTTAATTTGACATAAAACCAGCCAGCACATAAATGATTCTGCTGCAGCTTAGTAGAATGCTTGCCCAGCATACAGGAGTCCTTGGGTTTGATCCCCAGAATAACACAACGATAACAACAATAATCCGAGCATGGTAGAACATGCCTGTAATCTCAGCATTTAGAAGCTGAGGCAGGAGGCTCACCATGAGTTGGAGACTGTCCTGGGCTTCAGAGTAAGTCCCTGTCTCCACAAAAGTAAATACAAATTATTACAAACATCCTCTTCCTTCTCCCCCTCTTCCTTCTGTCTTCTTCCTGCTAATGGAAGGAGACTGGTCTAGAGCTCACAGTCCTGCCTCAGCCCCTGAGGTTCAGGGATTGCAGCTCCGTTCACCACTTCCAGCTTTCCCTCTGTCTCCCTCCCACCACCAGGACAGCTCCCTGAGGTCCCACTGTGGAGTCTCAGTTCTCTGTGCCTCTTGGTGTGAGCTGTGAGATAGGGCGGGCTGGTGGCCACAGAAGTGGCTTCCAGGGGTGAAGGGTGGTGAAGTTCCAGTCTGTCCTAGTGGTTTCATGTTCTTACCCTTGCTCTATGAACACTGCTTCACAGTAAGGACAAAGGACAAAGCAATCCTTGACTTGCTAATGTGAGAATAACTTGAGTGTAAAGTACCCTCCTCCTGTCCGTAACCATTGTCCAGAGGATGAATTCTCTTTCTTTGGCAGCCCTGGCTGTTGTATCAGGGCCTCACAAAGGCTGGTGTCTTAGTTTCTCTTCCTAAAATATCCGGACAAAAGCAACTTAAGGGAGGAGGGGTTAGTTGGGCCTACAGTTGCAGTCCGGGGTGTAGCCCATCCACGGTGAGGAAGGCGCAGTGGCAGAAGCCTGAGAGAAATAGTTATGTCTACTGGGAAGGGCAGAGAGCAACCGCTTAAGCAGTGGTTCCCAGTCTTCCTAACGCTGTGACCCTTTAATACAATTCCTCATGTTGTGGTGGCCCCCAACCATCACATTATTTTTGTTGCTACTTCATAACTGTAATTTTGCTACGGTTATGAATTGTGATGAACATATCTGACATGCAGAATATCTGATATGCGACCCCTGGAAAGGATCGTTGAATCCACAAAGAGATCGCGCCCCATAAGTTGAGAACCACAGGCTTAAAACATGCCAGTGTAGCAATAGAGAGGGTGAGCATAATACCAAGATTACCACATGAAAGAAGCCGGTTTGCTTAGATGGACCGGAAGCCTTCCTCACCTGGGCTTCATCTTGCAGACAGAGCATGTACACAGACAGGGTCAGGGGCCAGAGAAGTACAAACGGTAGAAACAGATGGGGTCTCTGCAGATCCTTGAGGGACTCACCCTGCCAGGTGCAATGCCAGGTCTTTCTTCTGCTCACCAGTCTACTTCCATTTCCTGTTTCAGTAAGCTGTCTCTGCTTCTGTTTCCAGCCGCATGTCCCTGGCTCAGCACCACGGACCCTCTTCCCTGACATGTTTCTTCCATGTCTCTGGCCTTCTCCAGGTGGCTGCTGGAACTTTCAGCCCGCCTGCCCTGTTGTTTTTTCCTCTAAAGAGCTAATAAAACTGTCCTTGAGTATTCTTCTCAGTCCACTTAAAAAATTATTTTATTAATGAGGCTAAGACACACAAAGAGAACCTCGGTTTCCCCAGGAACATCAGTGCTCAGCTGGGTCTCTCCATTTAGTCCAGGGGGCCCCCTATTCAAGGTGGGTTTCCCTATAACATCAGTGCTCAGCTGGGTCTCTCCATTTAGTCCAGTGGGGGGGGGGGCTATTCAAGGTGGGTTTTCCACCTCAACCCAAAGAAGAAAATTCCTTAGTCATTTACATGCCAACCTGATCTAGAAATTTCCTCGGTGACACTCCCTTCCCTGATCATTCCAGATTATATCAAGGTGACAATTAGAACAACCCATCAGAGCTTCTGGCACCGTTCATCTCCAGCCCCAGGGCTACCTTTTCCTGTAATCACTTGTCTCCCTTTCTGCTCTTCCCAGCTCTCATTCCTTTTTGCTGCCTGGGGGACTAGGCACCAGCAGCGCAGGGCTCAAAGGGAATCCACAGAGTCTTGATGGTTTCCTTCATGTATTCTTCATTCTGTGTTCTATATTCTCTTTTCCTATCTCTATCCAGAAATTTCCTTCTGCCTCTCTTGATGTTTTCCTTCTC